TTGCCCTCTGCTAGCTGCTTGCTCACTGCCCTCAGTCTGGCTCCAGCTCCTGCTGGGTTGGACACCCACCCCCCCTTGCTGACCCTCCCCACCCCCTTGCAGGTCCCACAGAAAAAGTCTGGTCCTGCTTGCTGTTGTTCCAGTTTCCTCAGAGCCTGACTTGGCTGCCTGGAAAATAACAGCACACCTGGCCCAGCACAAGTCCTGGCTTTCACACGGGACCCCAGCAAGCAAGCACGGAGGTGTGGAAATTACAGATAATTCATGTGGGAGGAGACAGCAAGCGTGAGGCATGGATCCAGCCGTTCCCAGAAAAGCAACTCGGGATAATAGGGGGCCTGTGACGGGCTGAGCCATGACTCGGTGTGGTGCAAACGATGCTGATAATTATATTAAAAGTAGGGCAAATAGAACGTTCTTTGACAACCAACTTTGGGAGCAGGTTGGCAGCTGATGAAACAGTTCTTTGCCATGGCTAATGGGAGCATTGTCTGCTGGGAATTCACTGGGGGTGCTGGGGCTGAGTGGGGGCTGGGAAGATAGAGTTGGCAGGGTGACCTTGACCCAAGACCTTGCAGGTACTCAGGGGTGGGGTATGTAGATCAAGCTTCTACTGCAGGGTAACAAGTTCCCGCCAACTTGGCAGTTTAAAATAATGCACATTGATTATGTCATGGTTCCCCTAGGGCAGGAGTACAAGTGGGGTCCCCTGCTCAGGGTGTCATAAGACTGCAATCAAAGTGTCAGTCAGGTCTGGGGTCTCATCTGAGGCTCAGGGCCTTCTTCCAAGCTTGTCGACAGAATCTATTCCACATGGTTGAGGGGCTGAGCAGTCAGCTTCCGGGACCCCATCTGGTCCTCTCTACAACATGACAGTTTGCTTCTTGAAGGCCAACAGGAGAGAGACTGATGCCTCTGTCTTTGAAGTCTAGACTCCCTCTTAAAGGGCTCTTCTGATTATCTCCAATTGTCTTGGGTTAATCTCCCTTTTGACAAATTTAAAGTCAAAGCATCATGTGTGAGTGCTTAGTCACTCCATTGTGTCTGACTCTCTGCCACCCCATGGACTGTAGCCCGCCAGGCTCCTCTGTCCAGGGAATTCTCCAGACAAGAATGCTGCAGTGGGTAGCCATTTCCTTCTCCAAGGGATCTTCCTGAACCAGGGATCTGACCCAAGTCTCCTGCATTGCAGGCAGATTCTTTTTTTTTTTTTTTTTTATTTTACTGACTTTTATTAATAAAATAATATCCTTTACCATCTGAGCCACCAGGGGAGCCCAACAACCTCTGCAAAATCCTTTCCCCTTTGCCATGTAACTAGCCTAGCCAGGAAAGTGAAATCCATTCTATTTCTATGTCCTGTCCACATCTGAAAGGAGGGGCTTGTGTGGGCTTGTATCCCAGGGCACCTTACAGTCCTGTCTACTGAGGTCCCTGTCATCGAGAGACTGAATTTGAGAGATGGGGTGGGAACAACCAACTGACCAAAGATCTCTGAGGGAACAACCTGTGTCAGTCTTGTTCCATCCAAGTGTTTGGCGTGAAATCAGTGCTCAGGAAATATTTTTCAATTGAATAAGTGCGTCACCAACTCCTACCTCCAATGTACATGTGGGGAAGCCAAGACTAGAGAAAAGAAAGTACTTTTACAAGTCATCCAAGGCAACCAATGGCAAAGTCAGAACAACAATAAGTCCTGCCATTAATTGAGCAGTTACTGTGTGCCAGACATCACGTTTGGTTATTTTACCAGCTCCTTGAATTGTCATAAAGCTGTGTGATTAGGAATGATGAATACCCCAGGTTTACAGATGAAGAGACCAAGTCTCAGGGAGGCAAAGTAATTTTTCCAAAGATGATGCTGGCACCATCACAAATCAGGACTCAAGCTCACTCAAGTTGATCCCCATGTCCCTGGGGCTCCGTTTTCCATGCTGAGTTGTCTGTGTCTGCAGGTGGGATAGACTGAGAGCAGCACCAGGAGGCCATGTGTGTGGAGATGCTTGAGGATGCTTGGTCACCTTTCCCCGTGACTCTGCCCGCTGCTCCCTCTTCCTTCCCTTGGGGATTAAGTCATCACTCTGTTTCACACTGGGCCACCAAGAGCCTGACAAGGCAGGGAGGTCTTTCTAATTACTCATAATTAGCAAGCTGATTAGTCCTGTCACATGGGACTGTCTCTGTTAGCTCTCTCCTTTGTGTTCTGGGGACACTTCTCTGGAAAGGAGGGGACCCGTCTGCATAACCAAGAGAAGAGGATGCAGGGGAATCTGACTGGGATTGGGCAGTCAGGTCATTCATGACCACAGAGATAAGTATCTCACCAAGCCTACCCCTCCCACCAGATCCCCAATGGGAGCCTTTTTTTCCCCCAGATCCAGAGCACAGAGAACACGTTGTCCATCATGGGAGACAGGACCTGCCTTACTCCACAGGGGAGCATCCTTCCCCAGAGGTTCTCACGCATCACTGCCTCTCCTCTGTAAGTGAAAGTTGCTCAGTCGTGTCTGACTCTTTGTGACCCCATGGACTATACAGTCCTTGGAATTCTCCAGGCCAGAATACTGGAGTGGATAGCCTTTCCCTTCTCCAGGGAGCTTCCCAACCCAGAGCTCAAACCCAGGACTCCCGCATTGCAGGTGGATTCTTTATCAGCTGAGCCACAAGGGACGCCCCTCCTTCTGTAAGGCTCTGGTCAAATGTCACTGCATTCATCACTGTCCGGCTCCTGACCCCGAGTTATAACACAGTGGGTAAGCCCAGATTTTGGAGCCAGACCGCTGGGTTCCCATCCTGGCTCTGCCACTTGGACAAATTATTAACCTTCTGTGCCTCAGTTCCCTCATCTATCAAGTGGGACTAAACAGTAGCATCACATTATTATGATTGTAAATAAGTTAATATATGTAAATCATTAGACTTCCCTGGAGGTCCAGTGGTTAAGACTCCATGCTTCCACTGCAGGGGACCTGGGTTAGACTAGTGGTCAAGAAACAACATGCCACATGATGTGGCCAAAAATAAATAAGAAGAACATTAGAACAGAGTCTAACACAGAATAAATACACTAAAGTGTTAATAATTCCTTTGTTCTTCTTTTTCTTTCTAGCACTTATCACCATCTGCTATGCAACAAATAATATGTTGCATGTTATTTGTCTATTTGTTGAATATTTGTCTCCCCCAAGAGGATGGAAGCTGCTTGAGGGCAGGGCTTTTCTTTGCTCATTGCTTTATTCCGGCAGCTGTTGAATCAGTGAGTGAATCTCACCTTCTCTCTTCTCTGGCAGAGGTTTCATGTCTCTCTGCGTTCTTCAGAAATTCTCAAAGAGAATAAAGATGCAACTTCCATCATCTTCTAACCTCTGTCACCCTGATTCATGACCACAGACTTCACTTCTGGAACCACAAGGTGACTCTGTCCCACAATAACCAAGCTCTACCCTGTGATGAAATGGTCTGAAACCTATGTCATAAAATCCTGGAAGTCTAGAATTCATGGATTCCTAGAATGGACTCCAGGCCTTGGAGAATTCCAGAATGGAACTCTGGAAGCTCAGAATGTAATCCGAGATTTGTTGATAGAACCTAGGAATCTTGGAGAGGACGCCCAGAATTTCAGAAGAGGCTCTCAGAGCCGGGTCTTTGAGAGAACCCGGTGAGACCAGGTGGCCCTGCGTTGTTGGCTTCTTTGCAGTGATAAAAACAAACGTAAGTTGCGCTGGTGTTCAGAGCTGAGGGGCAGGGAGAGGGGCCAGGACAGCGGTGGGAAAGGGCTCCCCTGTGAGGGTTGCTAGGCGCTGGCACCGGCTGAGACAATGAGGCTGGCCGGGTAGGTGGAGCCTAAGATTGCATCCTAATGAGGACGCAGGAGGAGAAAGGGAGGGAGGGGATTGGAACCGCATGCAGGGCCTGGGCTTGGCCCGCCCTAATTCCATTACAGCTAGCCATCCAGCTGCCAGGGCCGGCTGGGCCCCAGGTCTGGCTCTGCCCTCCCCTCCAAAGGCAGGCTTGGGCTGCACAGTGCTTGGGGTTCAGACAGGTGCCCCATCCTGTTCTGAAGTCCACACCCTAGAGCAGGAGTGTGGTTAGGTTATGAGTCCCAGGAGACCCAGGGCTGAAAGGGGGAAGGTGGCCAGGGGGTAGAGAATGGAGGAATCCCTCAAGAAAATGGATTGACCTAGAGTAGAATGGTAGACCTAGGGTAGACCATATGGTACTTAATGAGAAATTCTGTATATTAAACAGAGGTTCAATTAATGGGCCCCTGACACTACTTCTACCCTGAATATTGACTCAATCCCAGCCAGTCCTTTGACCTAGGCTAGACACTGAACCCTAAACTTCTCTCAAATTAGGCCCCAGTCCCAGTCCCATAGGAAACCCCTATCCCAGCTACAGACTAACCTCTAGATTGAGCCCTGATCCCAGCTACGTGCATGCATGCTAAATAGCTTCAGTTTTGTCCGATTCTTTGCAACCTTATGGACTGTGGTTCTCCAGGCTCCTCTGTCCATGGGAATTCTCCAGGCAAGAATACTGGAGTGGGTTGCCATGCCCTCCTCCAGGGAATCTTCCCAACCCAGGGATCGAATCTATGTCTCTTATGTCTTCTGCACTGGCAGGCAGGTTCTTCACTACTAGTGCCACTGATCCCAGCTACACTTTCCTCCAAACAATGTTTCATGAGTCCTCAGATCCCTGAAAATAGAATTCACCTCAAATAATCCAAAGACCCGGAGGATTCCTTAAATCATAAAATAGCCCCACACCTCTAAAGCATGCTGGCTTCTAGAAACAGCTACAAAGACCCGGGCTGATCTCCCTCTCAAAGCCCAGAGCAAGTGGACTCTCCCCTCCCTGCTGTGGGAAGGGCTTCAGTTCAGATGTAGTCCTGCTCCAACCTGAGCTCTTTCCAACATGAGAAGGAGAACCTGGAAGGAGGTTGGTGGACCAGACCCTATCAAGACACTGCTGGGGATGGAGATGCAAACTGCGGCATGAGAGCCGGAGGAGCATCGGCAGAGGTGGCCCTGGTGGTATTGGAGGTGGAGATAGCTGTGGTGATGCTTACCTGGGTGGTGTTGACAAATGAAGTTGGTGATATCAATGAACATTTGTAAGTCTGGTGATAGAAACGTGCCTCATGCAGGTCTCCCAACCTCTCTGCTCTTTCCTCAACTGCACTCCTTTCTGCCCTTCTGCCACTCACCATCTTGGCTTTGATTGGCCTGGTTTTAGTGTCTTGGAATAGGTCAGTTTTTCCTTAATGAGCCCAGTGCTTTTGGAGGAGGAAATCTGTAATAATCCAAATAACAAATAAGTTGGAGTCTTTGTGTATTCCCTGCTTCTGCTTTTAGCTTCTCCAAGGTGGAAGGACAGCTGCCTTCTTCCCATCAATATGGTGCCCAGCAGAACTGGAGGCTCCCCGCCTCAGGCACTTTAAAATGTCTGACACGCACACTGCTCACTCCCAGGAAGGTAAGGCAGTGAAAGGACAAATGGACCCACCAACCTGTTGGAGCTGCAGTCAGCTGGACGAAGAAGCGAGAAACCGTCACCCATATTCCGGGGGCTGCGGCAGTTCCTCTACTAAGGTCCAGCCTCACTTGGCTCAGATGACCACAAGATATGAGGGTCACAAGGAAAAACCCTCTGTCCTCTGGGCAATCTTCCCTGTTCAGTGCTGCACAAAAATCTCTCCACTGAGACTCATTTTCTTCTGGAGGGTAGAGGAAATATGCAGTGCAAAGAGCTCTGGTCTGATGAGGAGAGGCCTTGCATTCTAATCTGGATCACAGTACTGCTTCTAACCCATACCTCTGCCACATAACCTCACATGGTGGGCATCCTGGTTAGGCTACTTCTTTATTGCCAGACTTTGCCTTGCAATGCACACCATTAAGCATTAGTCCAGTCCCCAGTTCTAAATGCTAATGGCATTGCACAGTTATTGTGACATTAAAAACCCTCCACTACCCACTCTCTACCCGCTTGAGAACTATTCAGAAACATTGTCTATGCAGTAACTGCAAAGGGAAGAGCCTCAAACCTATTTAACCAACATCAGCCCACCACCACCTCCAAGCTATGTGACAGAAGATGAGGAAGACATGTTAAAACTACTGAGGATGTGTTTGTGGTGGGGGCTCCCAAAGGAAGGCACGTAGAAAAGTGCACTTGCCCTTATTCCAGCCCCATGAAAGGAGCTTGAAAAGACTCTCTTGGAGAGCTTGGCAGTTTTTGCTGAAATTGGGTGGCACAGAGACTGACAGCTGACTGCCCAGAGACGTGTCCCAGCCCAGTGTGTAGGAAGAATTACACCAAGAGATTGATCTTATTTATGGAGGATATAGAGCCAGGGAAGGGCTTAAAGCAAGGCATGCTAAACAGAATCATTTGGACAGCAGAATAGAGGATGCATGAGAGGCAGTGAAACAGTTAAGAACCTATTGAGGTAGTCCTGAGGACACATGATGAAGGACTGAATTGGACTATGATAGTGGACATAGATGTGAAAGGATAGGGGTAGATCTGAGATAAAAAATAAGATGAATCAATAGGACCTGTTTGTAAAGACTCCAAGAGGCAAGACCCATAAGAGGGGCGTTTGTTATCATTATTGTCTTAAAATATAAAACTTTCTGGAGAGGGAATAGCTGAGTGCCATTATCAGTCATTAACACTTTAGTATGAATTAGCCATTAATCCATGGAGCTGTTGACATTTAGCAAAAGCAGGTTTTAAGAAAACCTGGTAGGGAAAGGTAAAAGAAAAAAGTACCACCAGGAAAATGAAAGACACAAGTGGGAATGAAGCTGGACATCTGGAGAAAGTGATGCAGACAGAACAGTCTGCTCCGGACGGAAAGTCTGGGGAACAGAGTTTACGTTTCTAATGGATCCACAACTTACCAGCCCCACGGTCCTGGCAAGTCACTTAACTTCTTGGAGTCATATGTGCCTCATAGATGAGACTATTTATCTCACAGGATTGAGTTCTATAAAGGACCTTTTAAACTGTCAAGCTCTGTGAAGGGTTATTATCCCAGCAGGTTGCTAAAAGTTAACTTTGCCATGATCACCCTTCATCTTTCACTGAAATGCAGACAGCCCACCAGCTGTCTTCTTAAAACTAGTTTTTTCCTGTTCCAGAGAAAACAGGAAACAGGTGCAAAAGGAAAGGGCAAGAGAAAGGCAGAGCGAATTAGTACAGTTAGAAAGTGTTACAGACCCCAGATCTTCTTCCCCATCTACCTAAGGGGAGTGATACTATCTAGCCTCACTGTATAAGATAATCTCACGTCTCTAAGCATTTTTAAACAAAGGGGCTATAGTTGTTCTTCTTTTAGCCACCAAGTAGCTGTGATCTTGTTTTGACTTTTTTATTGCCTTGCTTCCCCTGGGCTTCCCAGGTGGCTCAGTGGTAAAGAATCTGCCTGCCAATGCAGAAGACTGTGGGTTCTATCCTTGGGTCAAGAAGATCCCCTGGAGAAGAAAATGGCAACCCACTTCTCTTGCCTGGGAAATCTGATGGACTGAGGAGCCTGGAGAGCTACAGTCCATGGGGTCGCCAAGAGTCAGACACAACTGAGCGACTGAACACGGTTTCCCCCGCTGTAAAATGTGAATAATGGCACATGGAGCTGTTTTAAGGATTAAATGTGTTTCTATGCCTAGAACCTAGGGTGATATCTGATATGAGTGAAGCTCTATAAGAGCAGCTATGCTATTCTGCCACTGCCACCATCATGGTTGATCACCAGGACTCATGGGGATCCTGCCACCTCACAGATGATCCCACATCCTGTATGTGTTTGCTGAACAAGGCTGCTCATGGGTGTAGAGCGTGGTGAGAAGTGTGCGCTGTCCCCACCATTCCAGCCCCTCCATGCTCACTGTGCTTGCTACCCAGACCCTTTTTGTCAGCTTCCTTGTCAATCTAAGGCCTCGAACAGGCTCTTTTGAGAATAGAATTCAGTAGAGAAAATTGCATTAAGGAGTTCTTCTGGTACCTCTTTCTCAATTCCTCTCATCTAAAGTGCACAAGACCAGGACCCCTATTCTTACCACCCTGTGCCCCCGCCAAATGACTGCCTTTGTGGCAGCCATGACCCATGATAACCTTGAACCAAGAGGAGAATCCAATGTCAGTTGATTCAAGTTATACATCTTCCTGGAAGTCCAGGGTCACTATCCAACAGCCTAGTTGACATCTGTGGCCCACCATTTCCAACGCTGCGCACGGGATCCTACTCCAATCTGCACCCACCTCCCTGGACCCTGACTGCACATTTGATATTCAGTGTGAGCTAGAAACCTGGGAGTCATTCTTCACACTTTGCCATGCCTCACAATTCACCCAGGCAGCCAACATTTAGTGAAGACCATTGTGGGCCAGGCAGCGTGCCAGGCACAGGGGTCACAACAGCCCCTGCCCTCCTGGAGCTCTGGGTCAGATGAGGGGCATCAAAGTTAAGCAATGATCACACAAGTAACATTATCCAACCCGTGTCATTGAAATAAAAGAAAATGGTACAGTAAGCCCAAGTAACAGGTGGCTTGATCTTATCCACGCAGTCCAAGAGGCTTTCCAGAGAAACGGTCCACTTATCTTGGTTCTAAAGGACAAGGTCTGACGGGGCTGGGAGTGGGGGGAGGTAGGGGGTCAGGGTGGGGAGAAAATACTGCAGCAGAGAAAGCAACAAGAACCAGGACCATGAACAGAGAGACGGAGCCAGCTGCTCTCAACCCACTGGACTGAGACCAGTATGGCTGGCAGACAGACAGCAGGGGAGAGAGGCTTGATCTGAGGCCAGAGGACCAGGTGAGATCATGAGGGCCTCTGGGACTTATCCTGAGAGCAATGGGAAGTTGCTGAACAGATGATCTGCTCTTGTTTGCTTTTAAACCTTATTACTCATTTGCATTTAAAACCAGGCTGGAGGATGTGGGGAGACCCACTAGAAGGCTCTTGCAGTAGATGAGGTAGGCGATTATGGGTTGGACTAAGGGGATGGTGGAAGAGAAAGTGGAGGAGCCGGAGACCATCTGAGCAAATGAAATCAATAAGATACATTTCCCACTTTTCCTTGCAGCCAGGTGTGGGCCTGTGTCTAGATTCAGGTCAATGGGATGTGAGCAGAAGTGATGTGAATGACATCCAACTTGTGCCCTAAAGGGCCTTGACCTCCCCTTCTCCCTTGCCCCTTCCCAATGGCTGGAACTGGGACATGAATGGGAACTAAAGAAACCATCTTGGACAAAGAGAAGAAATCTGCTTATGCTGGAGAGCAAAGACACGACTGAGAGGGAGACGGGGCCTCTGGTGATTATGGAGTAGCCATGCCAGCCCTGAATTTTCCACCCACCCTTTTATGTAAGCTTTATTTTGTTTGGGCACTGCTATTTGGGTCTCTCTGTTACAGCTGCTGAATCATATCTTCATAGAACGACAGGTTGGACATGAAGAATATGGACACAAGAGACAGGGCTGCTATCCGGTCACTGGCTTACACCACTGGATGGTGGGGGTCAAGCTCACTAAGACAGAGATCCTGGGGGAGAAAGAGGCTTCAAGGTGGCACGAGGTGGGATTTGTCCATATTGTGAATGTAACTTGGGCAAGTTGTTTCCTGGAAGGAAACAAAAAGAGATGTCCAGGGAGCAGGTGGGAAACTTAGAAGAAAGATTGGAGTTGGAGGAAAGTATGATCAGAGAATGAATTTGTGGTTCTCAGCCCTTACTGCTGAGAACAGGGCATTTAACAAATTCAGATACCTAGGCCCAACCCCAGAGATTCTGATTTGTTCAGTCTGGGACAGGGCTTGGCATCAGCATCTTTAAAAATCCCCTCTGGTGGTACTAACGTGCAGCCAGAGATGAGAACCGTAGTGTGGATGGTAATGAAGCTGTGCAGATGGATGAGATGGCCAAGGGAAGGAGTAGAGAATGACAAAAGAATCCATCTTCCAGTCCCATCAATTCCAGGCCCTCTCACACCACCTGGACCCACTGGGAGAAGCGAAAGAGCAGACAACCCAGAGCAACTGCCCAGCCATCTCTACCCCAGTTCTTACATGACGCAAGGCAAGGAGAGGCAAAGAGGCGACACAATAGC